TGCTAAAGGCCAACCACAACTAAATATGTGTCATCACACCACTGTATGTTTGCTCATCTCATTTAATATAACCCGGACCAACAAAACCAACAACAGGAAAACACTCAGATATAAGGTCAGTTCAAAGGTCAACAAAGCACAAAATCAGTAGATAACACACTTCACAGGTTGCTAAGATACCTTAATCTGGGGAAAGAATCGGAATTAATTTTTTGTTAAGAGGTTTATCATTTCACACACTGATCCATTGAAACAGATAGTCCATAGAAATTTTAGCTTTTCAATTATATGGAAGAAGTAATTGGAGACAAGATAGGAAAGTTTTGAGCAGGAAAGATGATAGCTTAAGAATTTGCTAAGTCATTTGGCTAGAATCATCTTGAAACAGCTTGAGACAAGTATAAGTGATTTAAGGAGAAAAAATTTCTTAGCAATAATCTTCTACTGTGCAGCTTTGCACCTAGTGGACTAATAATGATCAGATAACATAGTTATAAAATTCATGAAAGGGAAAGGGACATTAAAACCATTTTGCATTAATTCCTTGCAAAACATGTACCTCTACACACTGGACGCAAGGCTGTTTCTCACAACTACCAACCTGGCAAAGCCATGTTCAGCTTCTGCATCAGGGTAATAGGGATAGAGACCATGCTATTTCTTGAAATTCCTTACTTTTTACTTGAAAAGAGAAAAAAAATGCTGTTTCCCCATTTGTTGTGCAAGGACTACCATGGAGAGAAAGATGCAGAATATAAAGGCTTTGTGTTAAATTTTATACTTTGTGTGTAAACTTAATGAAAAGGCTGTACAACAAATTGCATCCATATCCTTTTAATGGTACTCAGTTATTTGTAGCTTGCTCCATTTGACAACGGTTTATTCTCTTTTCTTCAGTAATGAGGAAGGTTTGGTTAGTGTGTGAAAGGGATGCACTGGTGGTAGATACAGATGACATTTCATTGCTAAGACATAATGTTCCTGAGAAGGAAAGTATCAAGAGAAACCTCAACACAACAACCAAGATGAAGACACTGACTTCTATACAATGTTCTTACCTAAAGCACAATCCACAATCAGCATGTGTCAATTCTGCCTAGATCGAAGATATGTATCTAATACAACTATAGATAAAAATTCTACCTTTTTCCCCACTGAAAATCATTGCCTGGATGACACACTGACTTTAGACATAAATTTTCACTGTTTTCTTTAATGTGGAATATGTCTTTACTCTTTGTGATAAAGTCTGAAAGAATATGAGCCATTGGTTTTGTTGTGTTGTTTTGTTTGTTCTGTTTGGAGATTGGGTCTTCTGTAGTTGAGGGTGGTCTTGAACGCCTAATCCTCCTTTCCCTGCATCCCAGGTTCAGAAAAACAGGTACAAGACACTATGTCAAGTTTATAGGTCATCTTTTTAAACAACAACAGAGAGAAGTTTAAATGTGTGACATATTAATATGTGTGTGGGGGTAGATAGAGGTTCTGCCCAAGGAGCAGGAGCTCCCTATAGCATGGGCACATATAGCACTCACTACCAGTTAGCAACAATCCTTACAGAAATGGCCAACTATTCTGTACAAGCTGATACTCGGCTAGAAGCAAAATAATAAACAAGAAATTGTCAAATTGCAAAAGATAGTTGCATATTTGAATGGGCATTATAAAGAATGAGTTATATATTCCAAGAAAGGTCACCTTTTGTTATAGCATTTTGGGAAAGATCCAGAATAATAGTAATTCATGCTATGACTCAAAATCGTGAAAGCTAACTCTGTAAGGACTGTAGAGAATTAGACACAATGGAGGAAAAGTTAAAAGACCTTCATGACAACATGCTCATTCTTCATAGAAAAGGGAAAACCCATTTGTCTGTGTTATAATGCTGTCCAGTTCTAGTGGGGTCCAGAATGGCCACGGAGAATGTGAATGGGCAGGACATAAGGTTACAATGATAGCAAGGGTTCATAAACCAGGTGATTGGGATTTTATTTTACGTGGAATCAGAAAGTCCGGCAAGAGTTCACATGAAGAGTGATACATTTTGATTCCGTGTTCCAAAGAGAACTCGGGCTGGTTTGTGAAAATTGCATTAAAGGCAGCACGAGAAAGAAGGAAAGGACAGGTAGGAAAGAGTTGAGAAAACCAGTCAAGGAGTAGCAATGCCCTGCATGAAAGTGTTGTTAGCAGGGATAAAAATATATGTGTGGATTCAGAGCACATTTCAGAGTCACAAACTCCAGGGTTTATACGAGATTAAATGTGTGACTCGGCGGAGAAAAGGGGAGGGTTAAAGTACAGTGTGCAGCTTTCAAATTTGGGGTTAGATTAAAAGGGAAAAAAATCAAGTGTTATACTCTGGACATAGTAGTTTTGATGAGTGTTTTCACATCTATCGTATATGGAGAAATGGGCAAAAATCTTAAGGCACTGTACTTTTTCATACATTTTCCTCACAATATAAAGATGTAATATTTAAGTGAGAACCTCTGAATCATTCTTTCAAAAAGGAAGAGTTAAAGGAAATTTTGGTTGCCTGCTAAATTTAGATAGCAGATTATGCACTTAGGAAAGATGAACTCTTGAGACCAACGACAATGAGCTGTAATGTATGTACGCAGCATATTAGTATACTAATATGAGACAAATTATAAGAAAATAAAAATTTCAAGACAGTCCAAAATCTGAAGTTTAATAAAAGAGAATGGGAGATAGACTTCAGAAATAAATTTGAAGCAATAATAATTGAAATAAGAATAACTTTTAAAGTATTATATAATCTTCTTCAGCTGAGACTTTAAAAATGAGACTATATAAAGACTGGTTCGTGATATTACAGAGGAGATATAATAAATGCTCTGATAATGTTTTCCACATATTCCTAATGTGCAAAGAGCCAAATCCATTGAGCACCGCACGTTCAGTGTTTGCAGAGAGTTCACGCTGCAGTTTCTTTTTTAATTTTTATTTATTTAATTTATTTATCAAAAAATTCCACCTCCTCCCATTTTCTTTCCACTCCCCCTTTCCCTTCCTTCTCCAGTCCTAAGAGAAGTCAGGGTACCCTGCCCTGTGGGAAGTCCAAGGTCCTCCCCCCTCTATTCAGGTCTAGGAAGGTGCGCATCCAAACAGACTAGGCTCCCAAAAAGCCAGTACATGCAGCAGAAACAAAATCCAGTGCCATTGTCCTTGGCTTCTCAGTCAGCCTTCATTGTCAGCCACATTCAGAGAGTCCGGTCTGATCACATGCTTGTTCAGTCCCAGTCCAGCTGGTCTTGGTGAGTTCCCATTAAATCAGTCCCACCATCTCAGTGGATGGACGCACCTCTCGCGTTCCTGACTTCCTTGCTCATGTTCTCCCTCCTTCTGCCCCTCATTTGGACCTTGGGAGCTCAGTCCAGTGCTCCAATGTGGGTCTCTGTCTCTATCTCCATCCATCGACATATGAAGGTTCTATGGTGATATGCAAGATATTCATCAGAGTGGCTATGTGAGAAGGCCAGTTCAGGCACCCTTTCTTCTGCTGCCCAATGACCTAGCTGGGAACATTTCCTTGGACACCTGGGAACTCCTCTAGAGCCAAGTCTCTTGCCAACCCTATAGTTGGTGGAAAAAAAGTTAAATGGGCAACAGAACTTTTAAAATACTATTTCTGAAAGTTTTCATAAAATTAAGGTAAAAATATGAAGGATCTTTCTCTCTTTCTCTCTCTCTCTCTCTCTCTCTCTCTCTCTCACACACACACACACACACACACACACACACACACACAAAGAGAGAAAGAAAGAGAGAGGGGACACACACAGAGAGAAAAAAATGGAGATGTGCTGAACAGTGATGTAGGAAAATTGGGCAACCAGCTTCTTATGGGGAGGGGAATTATCTGCCTCTGCTTGAGTGAATAGGAAACAGACTTTAGAAGACATCAAACAGCATTTGGCTGAATGACATTGACTACATAAGTAAATGAAATTGATCTTTTTTACAAACAGGTTTTTTAAAAAAAATTAGAAAAAAATGCTTTTTTCAAATCTGACACATTATTTCAGGTTTTAAGGTGAAATCTTGACATTATGTTTGTTTTATGATTTCTTCACTTAGATTTTATAGAGAAGTTGTTTGGGCAAAATTCTATTCTTGATCCAGAACATTGCTAAACTTTGTTTAGCATATATAGACATTTAAACCTGGATTTCCATGAAGACAGTTTCACTGCAGTATTTCCATGACACCAACAATTTCAGTAAAAGTCAGTGTTGCTTTTTGTATACTGAAAACACAGTTTCTTTTGGACAGTATAATGAACTGGGAATCAAAGTATCTCTGTGATTGTGCCACATTCGTCCTCTATAAACTGTGAGAGCTTTTTAAATGTCATGGAGGGAAAAAGCATAAGAAAAATCAATGCTGAAATGAGGAAGTAAAGGATGACCAGTGGGGCTGCATAGGTCGTTAGGCCAGACATGATTGTAAACAAAATCTTGGGGTTATTCAACCTAATGTTCATGGTCTCAAGGAAGAATAGAAACTGCATTTAATGCTTGTATTTGCATAGTGCATTAAAGAACCAGAATGTGGGCACTAGAAAACATGAAGTGGAAGAAGGAAGAATCATCAAACAGTAAGACAATCTAGTGACAATGGGGACCTTTGCAAGGCTGCAATTCCATTATACTCTTAAGAACCTCAGAAAACTGCCCCATCCCTGAGGAAACACAGGCCTCCCAAAATAAAACAAGACATAAAAGCAAGCACAACCAATAATGACACTTGAGAGGACCTCTATGACACACGCTTATAAAAGAAAACTCTACACAGAGAGTGGAATGTGTCACCTTGATCTAGTGCAGGGCTGCTTAAACTTTGTCCTTGCGATCCCTATTCACCCAACAAACTTTTACACAACCTTGCTTACATCGGTATATAAAATAAGCATACACAGAAAAAATTTATAAACAATAAATCATCAAAAATTTTATAAAAGAGTTCTTAGGCATCTATGTAATTTGATGATTTATTTAAAATGAAAGCAAGTGTATACATTCATAAGATGGCTCACTTATTTATTTCTGCATAAGGTTAGTGGCTGTATGTAGTATGCACATTGGTTTTCCAGAGTAGCTCAGCAATTATCTATGTAGAGAACACCACTCTAATTAAACATGAAATGGCAGAAGTATATTCATGCGTACCGCAGAAATTATTGGAAAGGCTGTCCTAATCCAAGAATGAAATTCTCTTCCAGTTTCTTGTGAAACTCAAGTTGGCAACTCAAAGAGCACTGTCTCAGATCAAACATGCCAACACAAAAAAATAACGTGAGCTATATTAATTTGATACGGGCTAAGGAATGATGACAGAAAAACATTAATGCTCTTTGTTTTCCATAATTAAACCACCATATTTCGGGTACAGCAGAAAACGTTGTACTTACATTGGAACAGTGCAGTGAGCCAGCGAGCCGAGCTGTGGCGTTCAGTGGTCATAGTTACAGGCGGTGTCACAGCCGGCACGGTGTAAAGTGCACATTGTTTGCTCAGAGTTAAGGATGCAATAAATTTACAAAATGCAGTGTGGGTGAGCACTGCCAGAAAGCTAAGGTTTTTATGTTTTATTTTGAATTAATTTTCTTGTCATTGCGCATTTAGAAACATTTACTTCTGAGAACATTTTTGTGACTCCTGCTTTGAGTTATGAAACCCAAATAAGGCTGCCACCCACAGTCGAAGAAACTGGAGTTTCAGATATAACATATCTGAATACCGTATCCCAACGTCATTCTTTATTAATCTGCATTTATAGCCAAGTCAGGACTTGCATTGTATCACGCCAACCCCTCTTTGAAAAGGGACTGCAGAATTTCCCGCTGTTGTATTTAGTCCAGGAAATGAGAAGTAGAGTGGCGAATGCGGAACACGGCTCTTTGCTCCAAATCTGGTCGTATTATGTAGCTCTCCATTATGAAACCAAGTCTTCTTAGAAATGGAGTCTGTTTTCAAAAATGAAGAGAAATTAAGAATATATTTAGTGTTTTGGTAATGCAAAACGCACTCCCGCCTTAAAACATTACTCTTGGCCTCACATTATAGGCAGCCGGAGCTAACACTGGGGAAGAAGGATCACAAGTTCAAAGTCAGTCTTGGATAACTGCCGACTGTGACAGGAACATGGGTTTCTTATAGCAACTGTGATTCAAAACTACAGACCTACAAACTAGTTAAGTGATTTATAGCGATAATTATTAAGAAGACATAGTCCTGCTTATTGTAAAAGACTTCCAAACAACTTTAGCACATTGTTCTTTGTTTCCTTAGAACACTACTCAGAACGTTCTTGAATTATTAACCAAACAGTCTCCTATGCCTTCCCCAACAGAAGAGCTGTCATAGCAGGTAGTCCATGCCGGTGGTCTTCCCCTAACCTGCTGCAGAGCATAGCCCTCGCTGAAAATGTGCAAGCCACAATGCACTGAGCATTGCTCCGGATATTACCTGATTTCCTTGGGTACTCTGTGGCTTTTTAATAAAAGAAGTAAAATCAGCAATTGGAATTCTTCATTTTATTGAAGATTTATTGAGATTGTTGCAAATTTGAAAAACAGTTTCATTTTCTAAGATTTTCATGCTGGCATTTTTCCTATGACTTTTTGGTATACACTCCATCTTGAAGGTTACAAGGTAGATGCAGGGTTACCCAGATCAAAAGGCTACTTTTCTGCTCTGGTTCAATCTTCTCCAAATACTCACCCGTGTATTCCCTCGTGTCGCCAATCTGCTTCTCCAGCCCCCATCCCTAAAATCTGTTGTTTAGATTCTACTTTAATAAGAAAATAATTTCAATAAGAAATCTCCAGAAAATGTAAGTATAAAAATTTTGACATCAGATAATAATGTCTTTAAAAGACATATGCAATGTTATATTTAAACTTTGGAAAATTTTGAATAATGTTATATTCAAACTTTGAAAAATATTGTTCCTATCTCAAAAATCCTTCTATTTGAGTTGAATTTGATTTATAAATGGCACAATTGTAGTTATACTTGCTTTCTAGCATGTAAGTTCTTAAAATGGAAATCTAGAAGCTATAATTCTGTTTAAAATCAATTTATTTTGTGTCAAACCATTGCCAGAAATTAATTTTATCTTTAACATAATTTATTTCTACCTTGCTTTAGTTATGTTAGAGTAAAATTAATGAGGAAAAATTAAATGAAGCAAAGAAATATAAAATCAGATTTTATTTATACTATGTATGCTTAAACTTATTTGTACATTTTCCTAAGAGTTACATTTCTAGCTTGACTATATTTTGTGTTGTCTCAGAATATTACTTTTCTGTCCTGAAATATAATGTTGGAAACATGAGCAAGTTTAGCATGCATATGTATATTCAAATAATATACACTATAAAATAAAAACATTATGCAACCTAACCCATTTTATCATTTACTTGAGTAGTTACAATACAGTCACCAGAGATGAATCTGTAACTGAAATCACTCCCTGTGCTTTCACAATGCTCAACAACCACAGAATGATTTCCCATCATGACCATGATGAGAGAAAAGTTCCAGAGAAATTTCATACTGTTCAAAACGGATGTGAATGAACAGAGAAAACAATCATTTCTCAAAGCAACATCTAATCCAATAGAACAGATCTCCATCATCTCCATATTAGAAACCAGCATTTGAAAAAAGTATCCAATAACTTTGACATGTTCAGGTAATGTATACTTTGAATACAGTCCAGTTATTTCTGACAGTAACAAATCTCATTTAGTTTTACTTTTGTACAGTCTGAGTGATAACAGCCCTCCCAGATATGCATCTGAGACCTAAAAATTTCCCTATAGTACAGCTTCCAGCAAGTCATGCAGAATTTGTGGTATTACCTATATGCTCACTATTAATGTCTTTTGTGACAACCTTTCCATCCATGGAACCTTACTTTTCAGTTTTTTAAAATGGCAGTATTGAATTTAATGTCTGTTTTCTGGCTGGTGGTACACACGATTTCCTTTTCTGGTAAATTAAAATTAAGTTGTCTATATGCAGACTATGGTTATTTAAATTCTTGAAGACTCACTTTCTCATGCTTAATGTGGGAATGACAATAACATACACTTCAAATGGATAAAGTGAGTTCTGAATCCTGTAAAGACTGAGGAATACTTCCACTGTACCTGCCCCATGGTGAGAAACTGATACTTCATACAAGCTGTTATTATATGAAGTATCTACTGTCCTTGACAGTAGATAATACATGCAAAGAAATCAAAGAGATCTGATTTTTCGTTTTTCTCTGTATCCTTCAGTTACTGCCTAGTGTATGATACCTGGTATACATGGTATTTGTATTGTTTTGTATTAGAATGTTCTAATGTAGTAGGTTCCTTCTGTGATTCCTCTTTATTGAAAAAATAGTTATGTGGTAAAATAAGTTTGGAAAATGGAAGGGAAATGTAAGCAGCATTGTCTAGTAGACAGGCTGATGTCTATTAGAATTCTTCAATAGCAACTATGCAGCTTTCTTGTGCCCATTTCATCATCCTGCCACATCCACAAACTTTCCATTAACACAGTTTTCCCAACAAGGCCCTCTAATGGTTTTCTGATTGCTTAGTTTTAATGCCCTGGGACGTTAGTGACATGCAAGATTGTTAAGAAAAGTGACTAACTTTCTGAGCCCCACCTCCCATAGGAGAGGGTATATACTATAAAAACAATGTCTTTTCACAGAACACCCTCCAAAGCTGGTGAGGTTATGGAATGTAGACCTTTATTTGCCAGCCTAACTCACATACTGAGTTTTGATAGATGGAGGCCTTCCTTCTCAGTTGCTTCTCAGGCCCATCTGTGTGGAGTTCCCTAAATATGGGGCCTCGAACAATTTTTGCAACCTCATTTGGCTAGATGTTAAGAGCAAAAATATCTTTACCCACAAGTAACATTTACCTCCAAACCTGTTTGTTCCATACTCAAGAAGTTCAGGCTCCCATTCACACCCTCTGTCCTGTTTAAGGACAGCATTAGAGCAATTAAAAAAAAAACCTAACCTGACCTGACCAAAAAAAACATTGTATCTCCTCCAGAAATGTCTAACCTGACCATCATCCATTCAGGGTGGAACTTTCTACAAGTATAGGAATATTGTCTGATCACCCAAGAATTTGAGTTGTTCAAAACTCTAAAATGACTTAAGTCTCTTAACAGCTCCTGAAGGGTTGATATTCTAGAAAAGCAACTACAGCATACTCTTCAATTGTATTTAAAATATCTGCAAAAGAGTAGTTTTGGATATCTAGAATAATACCAAACCTATCGAGAAAGCAGTGTGTGACAGCAAATTTCAGAACACTATTATATCCATTGCTACTGTTTTACAATAAAATGGTGATTATGTTTGTTTGCGATGCAATCAATTGATAAACCCACAGGCTTGAACAAGCAATTTTCAAGTAAATAGCATGTAAGCTAAAATTTGCTATTGTGAATTTTTTGAAGTTTGTTGCATTTACTATTTGAGAGGAGAACAAGTTATGGCATGTGTGTGTGGAGCAGGTTAACTCATCCTGTGGGTTTCAGAGGTCAAACTCATACTGTCTGGCTTAATGATTACCATTCTTACCCTCTGGGCCAGTGGTTCTGAACTTTCCTAATGTTGAGACCCTTTAACACCATTCCTTATGTTGTGGTGACCTCTAATATAAAATTATTTTGTCCCTACTTTGCAATTGTAATTTTTCCACTGTTCTGAAGCATTATGCAAATATCTGATACATAGGATATCCGATATGTTACCGCCCCCCCACAGGGGCTCAAGACCCACGGGTTGAGAACCACTGCTCTGAGCCATCTTATCAGCCTCCATAGATATTTTCACATATCAAGTGTACAGCAAAAGAAACAATGTCTGTTAAGAACAACTTTTTATTTCATTTGAAACACAAATGAAAGCTGAAGCAGTCTGAATTTCCACTAAAGAATAGTAGAAAAGAGTATGGTAACAGATGCCTTTAGTTCCTATATTCAGGAGACAGAGAAGGATCTCTGTGAGCTCAATTTCAGCTTGGTATATATGGTAAGTTCCAGACCAAGCAGAGCTATATAGTGAGACAGGTGACAGATAGATAGATAGATAGATAGATAGATAGATAGATAGATAGATAGA